TGCGATGCACTGGTGCCTTCCGCTGCCTTCCTTAGCTGCGCTCGACGCGACGCGGAGCGAGGGCTGAGCGCGCGGATGCGCTCGTCGAGTGGGGGATCGGTGGGCTGCTTGCGGCTGCGCGACGGGGGTGGAGGCGAGCGAGTGGTGAAAGCACGTTCAAGATTTTGTGGGATGATGCAGTAAATTATATAAATATATGTTATAGGATGCGAGTATTGGCAATCTCTGAGCACAAAAAAAAGGTTAAACAAATCCCTACAAAACAGGCTTTCATGGTATGTTCTGCGATCTGACTCCACGAACAATAATTATTAAATCAATATGAATCTGCACCGATATATGTTGGTCAAGTTCTATCGATGGGCACTGTGAAAGTCAAAATGCTGTAATTAGGGGAAGTCGCATGAATGGCACACTTTTGATGGAGCCTGGATCGATCCAGAGGAGCATCCAATCTGTGGAAGCCAAACCAGACATGGGGACATGGAAAAACCACCAATTATTCTGATTCTCGTCATTTCTGGTCTAAGGCTTTGTTAGGCTTTAGTTAGTTAAGGAGACCCACTGTCAGACTGGTGTTCCGCGATGCTCCGGCGTAACCGAACGCGCGATGCGATGCTCCGTCCAGGTCACAAACAGCCTTGGCCGATCTCATCTGCTGTCCCTCCCAGCAGTGCCACCCGATCGGCCACCGCGCTCGCAGCCGCTTGGGCGCACAAATACGCCAGGTGAGCCTCGTGGATCTGGTCCTCAGCAGTCGAGACGTGCTGTGGGGGCCCCGTCAGTGCCCCAGTGATGTGATGTGCTGTTTTGATTCCCTCCGCGCTGTTTGGTGCCCAGGATGGAGAATCAACCATCACCAACGGTCCATTGGGAACGATATTTTGTATGCTGGAGAAGGCTTTTGGGAGCGGTTTTGGTGCAGGAACCCTGAGTCGGACTTCCGGGAAGTGTGGGGTCACCTCCGAGTGTAGTGGTCAACAGTTCTAGATTCTAGTTGTTCAAGTAAATGTTTTCCCAGAGTCGACGCTTTCAAAGGTGTCCTTTTCGGAGATCCTCTGGCCTTCCAAAAGTCACCAGTTGAGATTTCTTAGGACTAGACCTATTGGAGTACGGACTATAGACCTAAAGGAGTCCTCGAATTAGGGACTAGACCTATTGGAGTTGCTCGCCCTCTTCACTGCAGGGATCCTCCTGCTCTTGCGCTCTTCGGCTTGAAAAAGAAACCGTTCAGCAACGTGGGATGGAGATTCATTCCCAGCCAGTGCGAACAGCTCAGCTAAAAGCAGAACGGCTTTGATCTCAGCCTCCTCATGTCTTTGTTCCCGCTTCGGACATGGGTTCCGACCCAGCGACGAGGCATTGTGTTGGACCAAATTCTGAACCGGATCCCCAATGCTGATCCAACTTCTTCAACTTGATTAGAGCTAGCCCCCTGAGGCGCCATCCTTTCCCAAAGCCCATCTTCATGACCACCTCTTCTCTCCCACATGACGCTTCAGGTTTCTCTTGGCGCCTCTGCTTTCCTCGCCCTCAGGGCTCGCGCCGCGCACTCGGCGTCGCGGCCGACAGCGTCCCACATGCCCGCTGCGTGATCTCGAAAGTGGGCTGAGGCGTTGGAGATGGCAAGCGCCAGGGCGGCGGTGGGGTCATCACCTTCCTTGGCGGGAAGGAGCACTGGGATGCCCGAACTTGGAAGTTCCGGTTGAGGGTATTTGGAAGGAGTGGAAGTCCCGTAGTCCACTTCTGAGCAATGGAATGCTATGCAATGGGTGATTTGATCCAATTTCATTGTCTTCAGAACTTCTGAACACTTTTCCGTGTACACAAGGAACCTGGTTAAGTGAAAAGGGCCGATACAGTGATACAGTAGGGCCAACGAGATCTTCAGGACCCCCATCCACGCAGTGGGTGTTCCCAATGCTTCGAACAACGTCTCCTGACGAAACGCGCGCACGTTGCACACGCCAAGCCAAATGGCCATCACACGCAAGATCTTTGGGATCTGGCTCTTGTGCAACAAGTCAGTGCAAAGCCTAAGCTTCAATTGGAGCAATCACAAGAAGATGGTCACAGAAGCGAGCGCTGGTGGGCGCTTGTGAGCCTAGTAGGACCTGCACATGCCACCTGCCTGCCTCCCTCCGAAAAGGACTGACTGATCTGGATCCAACATCACCCACTGAAGAGGTCCGTTTCCGGAAAACCTGATTCGCTTGGGAGCCTATAGTTTACAACTGCATCGGATCTGTTTGGAGAAGTGTCGAGTCCAGGCGTCTCTGCTGAAGTTACCTCGAGGAGCGCTGGGTTCTGCGCAAAGCCCCCGATCACCGGCAAGCTGGTGATGTAGTGCTGTGCTGGGACGGCTAGCCGTTGTAAGAGGGAGCTGCTCAAGCCTTGCGCCGTCAACACCTGAAGAAATGCAACTCGGTTCGCAGCCCCCGAAGCGGTGAACGCTGGGCCAGTGGCAACTTCCGGGGAGGGTGGAAGGAGTTTTTGGTCACTCTACCCTGCACCATCCTTCCTGAAGGATCGAACCGGAAGATGGAGGAAACGAGGAATCTGAAGGATGCCTGCGTTTCCACCAAGTGGTGGTTAATACTATGCATATCATTTTAATATTCAAAGTAGATCAAAGTAGAAACAGTGGACAGGATCGTCATGGATCGTCTATGATTGCTAGTAAGATGTGGTAAGTGCGAGTGCAGCAGGCTGGTCGTGAAACGAAGACAAGCGCAGGGTCTCGAAAGGCTCTTCGTGTCCCCTCTCTTGAGACAAGCCCAAATGAAATGAAGTATTAAGCCCAGAGTTGTGCCAAGACCTTTCAGCCACACCCAGCGTGGCCTCTTTCATGGCTCCGCCATCCAAGGTGGTGTTCGGGGCCTGTCGTCAGGAACTGACACCATCCAATGCATGTTCCACATTCTGTTCTTTGCTTCTCACACAGCTTCTTTCCAGAATGTATTCAGCCTACCCTGACTGTGTAGAAATGCCCGCGACCTGCTTCTTACCTCAAATCCAAGGGAGCGCGACGAGCCCCTAACCTGTCCCGCGCAACTTGATATGACATTATGATACTTCTAGATACCTGGTGGTTCCTACAAGTACCAAGTACTTAGGCATACCCAGGCTATCTTGGCTTAGTTGTGCGTGTTGTGCCACCCCATGGTCAATCGATGTGAATCTGCGCAAATCGGGCTCTTGACTTTGCAACCTCTGAATACCCTAATCATTCACAACCAGCTGGGCTGGGCTGGGCGTGGCATGCGAACCGCCCGCGCTCCGCCCGCTCTGAGGGCCGCTGCATCACCAAGACGCTTCTCCACCTGCGTGGGGACAAAAGCTTCCTTTCCAGGTGACCTTCTGCCAGTTTATCTAATCCAGCAGTCACGTTCGACGGGGTGCGATCGAGGCTCGGAGTGCGTCACATCCACTCACTGCGAAAAGGACCTACCACACCACCCCCCAACTGATGACTCCTAGGATAGGGTCGTTTCATGGATTCTTAGGGAGGAGACTGAACTCCCGTGCGTCCCACGATGCTCCCACGGCTGGATCACTCCCACGGCACGCGGCGCAGCACCCGGGACCTTCGAGCCAAGGTTTCCGCAGCACCCCATCCGGGAGAACGATGAGCCGTCAAGGAACCGTCGGTTCTCCGTCAAGCAACGACAACCTGGTTCTTCTAAGTGACCGAACTTGATCCCCTGGTTTGAGGTCACAAACAGGCCTGTAATAGGCCACTTAGGGACTCCCAAAAGGTCACTTGGAAGAAGCTGGAACATGATGGAATAGGATGAGCCAACTCAAAAACGCTTCGTGGGCTTGAAGCCGGAATCCACCACAGTAACATAGCCACCATCCCACCCTTCTTTTCACATCAAACACCAACCAACGGGTCCCTTCCAAACAGTCCGGGCCGTCTCCCAGTGTTCTTCCGTTGAGACGGGTCCTCCAGAACGCGCCTCCTGTCGCGCAATGACCTCCGCCTCCATCAGATCCAAATGCTCCACTGAGGCCGCCGAGGCCGACGCCTGGGCCAGCACCTGGACACGTGCGGACGATGGCTTCGCACGGCGTCCGAGGAAGAAGGACGTCGTTCACCGTGAACGGCCTCGTCTTTGGGATCGGGGTTGGGTGTTTTGGGGAAGTGGAAAAGAAAAGGACACATTCCTGTCCTGGTTCTTCAAAGTGACCGAACTTGATAACCTGGTTTGAGGTCACTTAAGCCGAGTTGGGTCACTTAGGAACCTTCAAAAGGTAACTTTGAAGAAGCTGGGTCCAGGGTTCCATGGTAGACATCAGAATGGTGTCTTTCAAGTCACGCCGTCTTTCAGGACATCAGTTGGGATCGAAGACCTTAGAATCATCCGTTTTTTCTCAAATCAGGGATGAGGTGGCATCGAAAGCAGCTAGAAACCAGCTTCAAACATCTTCAATTCAAACAGTGTATCTAGCAATCGTCAGGATCAATCTGCCACCAATGTTGTGATTGTCCCAAACTCTGTGCGGAGGCAGGCAAAGCCAGTTCTGAACACCAAATTACCTTTGCTTTAGAGTTTAGAGGTCTCAACCACTCTGCACAAATGGGCCAACTGCTGTTGTTATTTTTTGGCGCCGCCCTGTCCCACAGCCATCCCGGACATCTTTGTTCTGCTCTTCGCACATGCACGCACTAACATATCATATATACTAATACTGGCAGCACAGAGAACCACAGAATAGCTCCAAACAAATCAAATAAAAACATATATTATGATCTATGATCTATCTCTCTCTCTCTCTCTATATATATATATTTTTTTGTTTGAATACTTTACATGACGCAATCGAAAAAAGGTTCACTTCCGGCGCGGCCAAACCTTAAAGTATCCGATGTTAACGTAGACTTCCGCACTGTCGATGGCTGACTCTTGATTCAAAACACCCGGCCCCCCGGATTCGATGTTGGGTCATGGCACCGCCCTGACTGCCATATGAACGGAATCGACGAACGAAATGGGGCGAGTGACCGAACGCAGGAGGGGCTCCGGGTGCCAGGACCCATGGCCATATGACATCATATGACCATATATGTTTAATCAAAGCAGTATGACCATATTGACCATATGACCCACGGGTGTGTTTTTAAACTACATGTGTCTATACAGCAAACGTCTAATTCCGGTCCTCAAGCTTCATCGCTCCGCAGAAACGGATCCGACGGAGAGCTCTCAGACAGGCGGACTGCACTTGGGGCAAAGGCTGAAGAGCACCTCGGAGGACAAATCGAATTTGGGTACTAGGAACAAGAACGCTACTAGGAGCTCCTGGCATCGCTACGAACGGAGCAAGGACGCTACGAACGGGGCTCCTGGCCGTACTAGGAACAATAAACGCTACTGTGTATGTCTACATAGGGAGACCCCCTGGCCGACGGTGGATTGGTCTATTTCCCCATCTGCTCTTGAGGTCAATGGGAGATCTCCTTATGCTAATGCACACCCAGTTAGGAATTCAGGTGAAACTTGAAAGAATGGTGACTCTTGGAACAACAACGATATGAGCTCATGATTCACAAATCCACCTCAAAGTGGCTTTGTCATGCGCTTTTTGCGGATCATCCGGCCAGTGCAAGAATGCAAGCAGAATGCAGGCTGCATGTAATAACTTATCACAAGATATAACATGATATACCGTAACTAGTATGTCTCTCCAACAATAGCAACATGCAGTACAAACACGGTTGGACCGCCACTGGGGGGTCACCAAGATGATCGTTCCCTACTGCTAGGGTGAAATTCATTTTATTTGCTTCGGCAGGATGTAATTGCCGCATGATGTAGTTAGGGCCTCAGTTCCAGAAACGCAGAACTTTTGCAGATTATGAGGAACATTTGGGTCACTTCGTGGCTGTGAAGTACTTTACCTCAAAAGGTGCCCAAAGCCAAGAGACACAAACAAAAAACAAGACCGCTTCATCGACAGGCTCGGAACCAATGGCCAATGGTCAAAACAGAACGTTTCTCTTACCCAGACGCTCCATGGGACTGCCATAGGACTGCCGCCCCATTGACCCCTTTGGCACCACCCCTGGCCGTTTTTCGGCAGTCCGGACTGGCAGTCCCAAACAAGTCGTGTCTGGGTTATATATATAGCTCGATCACGTGCCCAGAAGAACTTGCGTTTCTTGGAACATATCCCTTCGCCGGATCGGATTGGAGGGCTTCGACCACTATACCGTACTATACCCTACCGTACCCGCCGAACAAATGGTTGAAGTCTCTGCATCAGGTTGGGCAGGTTTGTAGGTCAACTGTTGAAGGCATCCAAAAAAGGAACCACCAGGACCTGAGCCGTTCGTGACCGTCCTTGACATCCCAGGGACATCTCGGTCACCAAGGGGCAGCCCGAAATTGACGGGTCACAGACAAGACATTGAAAGAGGTCATGGACTGCTCGGGTCCTGGCTCTTGCTATCATGGTTCTGGTTCTTTAAAGGTCCTGGTTCTGGTTCTGAATTTGATAAGATCGAAAGATAATAATAATGAAAGCCAAGTAAACATATTTGAAGTTCTGGTTCTGGTTCTGGCTCTGACCCGGGCCCAAAGCATCCGAAGAAACTGCGCATCTTCGACCTTCGCCACCAATTCCTCTGCTGGGACCCGTTGAGGCAGGAGGGACCAAAAGATGTAGAAGCAAATGGGTCAATGTAGGCTAATATGCCAGTCCCATGGGTCGTGGGACATGTAGATTCTTCATGCCGCGGATGGCTTCGACCTGTTTCGATGCCAAATCCGCGGACCCAAGCGACCCCGTAGACCTTCCGCCCACCCCACCGGCGCATCGCCGCCCCGGCCGTGGCACGAACTTCTCCGGCGAGGCCGTCGCCGCCGCGCAGCGGCGCTTGGCCTCGTGGGAGCGTCGTTCGGAGAACGCTGGGTGCGTGGGGAAGCCATCGCCTGTGGAAGAAGAATGCCCTGAAGGGTGTCCACCCTTGAGGATCCAACCCTTATGGTTCCATGGTACTGAACCGGTCTGGCGGGTGGGTGGCACCAGGGAAGTAGAGGAGCGACAAAAATCAACGACCGGACGGGAGGTCCACCGAACTAGGGTTTCGTAGGGTCCGGAGTTGGAGCCCACAGCCTGAATATGGCTTTATTGTATCTTAGTGTCAGTTCAGGCAGCCTTGAAAGCTCATAAGCAGTGGATGGGAGGTCCCAAAGGGTCTCTCTCTCTCTCTGTGTCGGTCGGTTGGTGATTGGCCAGTTGCAAGACATGGTGTTAGGATCTGTCCATCAACGGTGGCTCATTCTGCTCAGACACAAGACTTGATTCCCGCGGATCTTTGTCTCAGTTACGCTGTGACTCTCCATAAGGGCTGTCGGGCGCCTTCCCCCCACAGGCCACAAACTATATCAAACTATGATGATTTCACTGCCCAAGTGAACATCCACCACACCTGGACACTGCGTCATTGGGGGGCTGTGACCTTCCCGTACCTAGCGCAGCTTTTCCCGCGCATGTCGGCTGAACCGCGACGTCCGGACGTTTTAAAACGAGCTCGAGGAGCAAAGGCTAAGCTTCCAAGGAAGTCGCTGAGAAGAACCACATCCTGAGAAAGTCGCTTTTGAGAGAACTTCCAGAACTTGACGAAACATAGCCAAGCAGCCAAGTAACTTGGGGATTGAAAGTGATGTCTTTTGGATACGTTCGTCCTTATAAACCACCAAACTTGGGGATTGTGCCATCTACTCTCAGTCACTAGACCTAGTACTGTGGATCCTGGTTTCGCCAGGTTCCACAGCTTCCACGTGTGCAATTTCCGCCCCCGCCGCCAGCAATCAGCACAAAATTAAAAGCGAGCACATGCATGTGAAGCATTGGGAACTGATTTGCCCACTTCAACCAGGTAGCCAAACACTAAGAGCAAAGAACCTATCAAGTTATATGCAAAGTTGATGGCACGGGACCCATGTGAAGGCTTAAGCTATCAATCTGCTCACCCGTGGGGGCTGTACAAATCTCATCTTGGATGGGCAAACTATGTCTCGCAGGGTTTCGCAAGTTCGTTAAGAACTGGCCAAGTCGAGGAATGCAAGATAATGTATATATCAACAAGCCTTGGCCAGCTTCCACTAGGGCATGCCATGATGAAGCCAGGGACAACCACCACATCAAGCATTCGAAGATAAGAGGCACAGTATGTAGACACCCATTCTCCCAATTATTGGTCCAACTATATACCCTCTCTCAACAAAAAGCAAACTCACAAGCAAACAAACAAAGCATGGCAACTGCCACTTTCGTTATTTTTCCGAGATGTTCTACCAGCTCTCCCCGCTGACCAAGGCACAGCTGCCTCTTGCACTGCCTGCCGGTCAGTCACCGATAAACACTTGCCCTTAGGTCGGCCCGAAGGGGAAGACCCTTGTTCTGAACAAAGGAAGGGGGAGCGACATCGGAGCACCTCGGAGCGATGCGTGGGCTGAAATGACAGCGCATCGACGGCTGAAATGACAGCGACACAAACATCCAAAGTTTAGACGTGCTCCCTGGGCCAATTCCTGGCAGTCTCCGAGCCTGGATGAGTCAATCAAGTCCTTCGGCTTTTCTCAAGTCGTTCGTTCGAAAACACGGTGGACAGGGACGATTTGGGCCGGACGATTTGGAAGAGAAGCCACCATGTTTGGAACTGCCACCCTGGCTCAATTGAGCCCGAGGTGCATGAGAGTTGAACTCTTAAAAGATGTTGCACCAAGCTTGCCGCTGCAAATCCAAAGCATATGAACATCATACATCGGGAGGTTTGATCTCAACAATTGAACCGCCTCAAGCAAGCATAGCCCATTGGCACAAAGATGTGTCCAAGCTATTGATATTGAGAATAAACCTGGAGCTCCAAAAAATCTAACAGCTGTAGTATGATCGAAGTACGATGAAGAGATCAGTGAGGATTCATATTTGACCAACGATACAGCATCAGTTCTGTCATGTTCCATCCTCTGAAACCACTGGCAAGGGGAACTCTCTGCAGCTCCTTGTCTTTCCTGTTGAATGGAGAATCTGAATGCCCCCCAGCTCTGTATAGCTCCTTCCTTCATCGCACCAGCTAGTCGCAACGGACCCTCCGAGCTCGCCCCAAAGAGAACAGCAATTTTAATGCCGCCTCACATCACAGGAAGAACAGAATCATTATGAATCATTATGAATCGCACCCTAAAATCTGTGTATAAAAAATCCATGTGACGCACCCACAAATTTGGTATCAATGTCCACTTTCCGTGAGGCGCAGCCTCGGCTCGCAGCCTTTTCCCCGTTTCCCCCTTTGGCGTCCAGTCCGCAGGGCCTCACAGCCGCTGAAGAGGAAGGCTGCGGGGATGGTGGCGACGGTGACAGCGGCCACCTCGCTCCACAGACGAGAACCTCCCGGCGCACCTAAGGGGGTGCCCCCCTCTGCAGCTCCACCTCACAAAGGGGTGGTTGGAGTGGGGCTTGAAGGGTCTAGTTAACCTGACACAGCAGAGTTAAAACCATTTTGGGGTTGGTGTTCTTCAGCCTCTTCAGCCCTGAGAATTCGTTTTTTTTTTTTCCGGTGGATGGTGGGAGTTTCAGATCCGAGAAAATAACACATCTGGTGCAAACCTCAGGCGGTACACCCTCAAAGCTCCTTACCATGCCCATGGATCATGGCTGCAACGGTTCAGTCGCCAAGATAGACATCTCATGGACCTAAACTGACCTAAAAAACCTCAGGCCTTTGGGGAGCCGCGGTTAGCCTGCCGTTTACTGCAGAAAGATCGTAGCATGAAGCTGGGTCATCCAAAAGCTGTGCCGCATCGAGGTCGGGGCCCATGCTATCCCATGGTCTGGGGATTCCAAAGAAACAACATCATGGAACATGGTGGAGTCGCTCACGTTGTTCTGGCTAACAGGATCGGTTCATAGCTACCAAGAAGAACCCTCCCGGGACCAAAAGGCTTTGGTCTTGGAAACTGGCCAGAGTTGGCGAGCTTCTGGGATCATACAGCGATTCCAGCCCTCTCTACTACTTCCTTCACACGCACTCACCAAAAACAGATTAGAACAGCATGAAGCTCACCAAGCATGTTCAGGCTGAGTCCAAAGGTCCAGGCCCTACCCCAGTGCCACAAATGCCATAAAACTGTCCGTTCATCAGATTTCTCAGTGGAGATATGCCACGAAAAAACACCTCGCTGCAGCCCTCCATCCATCTGCAGCGTCCACTGCCGCCGTGTCACCTCCTCTTCCGTGGCACCGGCGTAGAGCACCGAGTGGCCCAGCTCCTGGCGCGGCGCCAAGCCAACCGGCTCCCGAGGTGAGTGTCAGCAACTTTCACATCACCGGACAAAGAGCCTTTCTCCCAAGTGGTGGCGACTGACTGGGAAGTGTCTGAGAGTAGACGATCTGGTGGACATTGGTGAGTTCCATTCTTTCGTTGCTATGGCTTCGTTGAGCAGCCCGGGCTCATTCCCATTCGCAGCCTCTCCTGCAGCTGCTTCACCCCCTCTGCCGCCAAAGCCACCGGCAGATTGGCCACCACCACCGGCGCACGACAATTCGGTGCCCCGACCCCTGCGGCCAACGGTGAAAAAGCAATCATGCTCCGACCGAACCTGGTCGGACGTGATAGACTAGACCAAACTGAGTGATGGATGGTGCATGCGGACGGTCGACTCAGCAGCTCACGGATGACACTACTCCCAGGGATCAGCCGACTCAGCCACACTAACTGGAAAGACCTGGGCCCGTGGCTTGGATGGTGCAGTACAAAAAACGCTTTTCACCATCCATCATGGATTGCTCCAGGTGAAGGGAGAGATGTCTGTGGGCCTTCGAAGAGCACTTTCCAGTCGATGTCCTCATCGACCGTGACCTCATCGGAAAGTGGGAAGTCTTTGGATAGGTGCACATGGTCCACCTTGTTCCTAAATGCATCACCCTATAGAATCCAGGACCCTCAGTTCGGTGAAGGTTTGGTTCGGGTCCAAACCCCTGCGTTCTGCAGGGTCAAAACCCTCCAGTTCGGAGGGTCTAATCATTCTTAGGGCAGTATGCAGGCCAAGGGCACCCAACTGTTGTGGTGCTCCCGTGCTCCCCATCCCACCCTTTTCGAATCTTTTCGATGGTGTCGGCTATCATGGGCATTGAAGAGATGGTCTCATGTCGCTGGCCTTCCTGTCAAAATTGAGACCGTCGTTTGAGGAACATTGGTCTCGCAAAGCGCTTTGAAGCTGGTAGATAAGCACGAAACACATCAGCAAGTCCGATGCACCCAAACAAATATTGAAAGTCAACTAGGGGCTGAAAATGGACTGACCATTCAACTAAATCAACAGTCAATGCACTCTGGCTCACTAACATAGGCCGTGAGCTGCATAGACGAACTGCGATAGGCTCCGTCCAACGTGGAACGGGCAAATGATCTGGACAACTATCACCATCCTCATGGACTCATGGACTTCATATCTCAAAGCCACCGCTGCACCCTCCTATAAGAACAAAGGAACGCTGCCGACCTGGCGCGCTGCGTACGTGCTTCGAACTTGGTGCTTCGCCCTGCCTGACCGTCCCAGTGATCTTTATTTCCCACCGACGTAGCTGGGCTTTCGGGCGACTTGGGTCTCCTCCCCCAAGCCGAAGGCCAACTCAGCGGCCTCACGCAAATGTTGACAGTACTCTCATGTGGAATTCACCCGTGAAAGGCGCGGACGACCGCCCGCAGTTGAAGGAATCGATCACCACTTTTCTTGCGGGAACATCATCCAGACTCTTCTAAAGCAAGAATACCAAGGTGCCTTGGTGGGCCTGGTGACACAACTGGTGGGCCGAAGCTGACACTTGGACCGTGGCCAACAGGTTCCAACGGCCGAAACACCCACATCCGGGCACGGCACGGAACGGTTGAACCCACAACGACCGCGGCACCTGAGACGAAGGTAGCTCACTGAAGAAGACCTGACATGCCGCGGTGCGGTGCGTGATCCGCATCGCGGCATCGATGGTATCACATCGTGGATCACTGGGTGACTAGGGATGCCAGGGCAGTGGCTTGTAATGGGCAATTCACCAGCCATAACTTCATCATTCCCCCCTTGGTTGCATAAGTTTTCCTATCCACGTTTAACTAACACCACAAGACCGCCACCAAAAACAACTCCAACTCCAACTCCGATTGTTGCTGCTGCTGCTGCTGCTGCTACTATGCTACTATACTACTACTACTACTGCTACTACTCCTCCTCCTGCTGCTGCTGCTGCCGCCGCAGCTGCTGCCAGTGCCACTGCTACTATGTTGATTAAACATTCACATTCTACGCTATTATCATGTGTTCAATGTTGAGATACCAATGTGGTCCCTTTTTTGCACGCACTTATATATGCAAAGGGGGTAGTAGTCTGGGCCTGGGCACCCTGGAATGTCGCATATAAATTTTGGTTTGGTGACTTGGAGTAGCAATATGCAGGGTCTTCTATTTCAATAAAAAAGTCACTGAACTGAACAATTGATGTCTGTCCTTTGAACTCCCCATTATTGTGTTCACTGGAGGAATTCAAAAGGACTCTGAAGAGGATAGGATGTCCTTCTGATGTTCATTCCCTTGTTGCCTTTGTATATTGTATACAGATTTCACGCTATGTCCCTGTGTAACTTAAACAATGTTGGCTTCTATTCTAAAGAAACTCCCCAAAGTTTTCCTGAACTAAACTTGGATTGCCGCTTGCTAAACACTAGCCAAGGTGAATGTGGTGATTTCACTTGGAATTCAGGCATTCTCTCCGATCAAGTCAATGATGGGACCATGAGTCAAAGCACAATTAAAGGAACGAACATTCAATATGTTGGACATCTTCCATTTTCTCCACTTGGTTGTATGCTTTTCCTAATTAGGGTCACCACACGCACACGCGTGTAGAACCTCAGCCATCGGTGCTGTTGGCCGCTGGCGCTCGCACCGTTCAGGGCACCCCAGCCAACGGACCACGGAAAGGAACCCGAGAATTCCGGTGTTCCAAATACCAACGCCGAGTGGTTTGGAGGGTTCCATGTGGTCCGAAGAAAACAGGGGAGTACGATCTCTCCCCTCCTAGGAAGCGAGACCTGGCATGAAGCCAGAACGACCAGACCTGCTTTGAGCTTGATGCAAGCAAGATGCACACGAGATCTTGCCTTGTTTCGGCTGTGCGGTTGGAGCATTGCCACTGGACACCCATCTACAAAATAACATCGGGAAGTACAGGGTAACTCACATACTTTTACTTACACATATACTTCCAAAAGTTTTACATATGTCACATCACAGTTCCAGAAGTCTTCGTCTTTCTTCTTTGGGGCAGGGAAAAAACCTTTTAAACAAACACACCGCTCTGCTTTCCTTCAGCCCAGCGACTTTGCCCCAAAGCGCCCAGGCTGTGAGCGGCCAAGGCCAATTGCTTCGGGTCGTTGGGGAGTTGCAGCGCCAGGCCTTGCGTCCGGAGTCCACAGACCCATACAGCATGCGGCCAGTTGTTCTGAGAAAGAGAAACCGAACGAGGGCGACCTCTGGTGTTTTTTTGTTGTGTTGTGAGGGGGGGTCATCCATGAGAGGAGAAAAGAATGAGAGAGACAAAAAGAGAGAGAGAGAGAGAGATGATTTGTTCTTGCAGTATGAGAGTTGCAGAAACATCATGGAGAGCAATTAGAAGGGAACTGTCCTCCACGAGCAGGAAGCTGTTTCTACTTCCAATTGATATGCTCCCGGGAAGTCAAGGACGATGACTGCTGAAATCGGGGTCCAACGCGCTGGGACCTGGCAAACAGCTCGGGTCCACACCGACCTGAGCCAATCGTGATGTCCAATTGGAGTCTCCTCCGGTGACTCTTTAAAGGCGGCCTATAGATATAAGTGACCGATATTCTCCTGGGATGTCAAGGATGGTCACGAACTGAAGGTCCTGGCAGATTCTCTTTTGCCAGATGTTGTGGCTGTTGTTTGATGCTCACAGCACCTGGAGCTTCGGTTTTCGCTGAACAAAGAGGCCATGGTTCGGGTCGACGGGTCCAAACCTCCAAACCTTGCCCCTGCCAAACATCTTGAACCTCTCCCTGCATTTCCCAACTGGTCAAGGGAAAATCTGGCATCACAGGGGGAAATGCGGTGAAATGGGTCCTCAACGTTGCATGTGGACCGGGGCAGTATTCATCCAAGCATGGTTTGATATCACCATTCAGGGGATCATAGCCTCATCTGAGCACTCATCATCTGAGCAGCAGTCACATTCGGCCATCTTCGGGATGATGTTCACATGGGAGATGAAGAGGGAGCCGTCCTGACTTACAGGCTCAGCTTGGACACACGTTTCTCCACTGTTCTCAGGTCGTTTCTAAGAGTCCTGGGTGGCGGCACAAGAGTGGAAGCTGGGTATTTGGAGTTCAACCATCCACGTTTCCAACTTTATGAGATCTTTGTCAAACATGCAACATGCACATGTGACCAGCCAAAGGTCAACAAGCTGTGACATCACCAGGCTGTTGATCATCCTGCAGCGTTTCCATAGTGGATAAGAGCAGCTATGAGCGCTTTTCAACACCCTGCCTCTCCCCAAACAACAAAACACAAAAGCATCCAAAACGCCACGGCCATGGGAACCATGCATCCCGCGACGGTGCGCCGCACGCACCGCGCCGGAAAGTCGCTTCCTTTTCCATGGACTTGGAGACCCATCGCTGCGCCGTGCGGCGGAGCCACTCCATGGGCGGCGCGGCCGGGAAGAAGGACGGAGAGGTGGAAGAGATGCTCTCAGAACGACCAGGTTTCAATGGATATGGAATGGTAGATATAGATGGTGCATGAGACCAACTGAGCGTGGTGCCCAAGTAGTACCTGGCGGGAACTTGGGAACTTGGTCTTCTAGAACAAGCCAGGAAGCGCGCTGACATTGGATGTGGAATAATAGGAGATCATCTACAGGGTTAGTCAGACCCCAGAGATGGTCATTTGAGTTGGATGCAGGTTGGGGACGAGGGTGAGTCCGCCCAGGGGATTCCACTTGCCTGACTGTGTAGGATTGTGGCTTAACCCAAGTTATGACATCACCTCGGATGAATGCATCCAATGCGAAATCATTAAGTGTCAAAGCCAGTATTACTGGGCAAAGCAAACTGACTGGCCCGATCTGGCTCGTATAGTAGACTCATTAGAGACGGACTCTATGCCTTGCAAAAAGTGCTTCTACTCTTCTTCGTTCCATAGTGTGTCTTGGATTGACCTAGAATCTCGCCAGTTTGCAATGGTTTTCATCGTCTGTGGCGAAGCTGGGGCAAAGCTTCATGGAAGTGCCAGACCGACGCGTTTGAGTCGAGAGTCGCATCCGGTGGCTTTCCCACATGCCAAAGTCGCCTTCCAAATGATGAGGACATTGTACGCTGTTAGCATAAGTAGTTTGGGCAGGGAAATGGCCAAAATCAACAACGTATGAAGGAGAAAGTATACTAGAAAGTATCCAATTCTATAATATAGTATTTGGGCAACTTGTCTAATATAGATCGTGGATCCCCCTCGAAAAAATGTGCCACAGAATCAACCACCCCAGGTTCGCCAATCTGAAAAGCTTTACAAAATCAAACCCCCCAGGACGCAGGCAAGGGACAACTCTCAAGCCGATATTACAAAATCAACTACCCGAGTCTCAAAATATAGTCTTTACAAAATCATAGGCACTCTGTTGACATGGCTCAGTACAATTACAAAATCAACCACCCCGAGGCCTCAAACAAGATAACAAATCTCAATCATTAAACCTGGATTGGGAAAAACAAACGATTTTGTAATGATTCAACGGCGCGACATCATCGAGACGATACGATACGATACGAATCGATACGATACGATTCGTCTCACAGCTCTCACGGTTTATCCTTTCATGTTCTTGCAGCTCAACCCACTACAAAATCAAACGTCCATGCTTTACAGCAGGTCAATCGATTACAGAATCGACGGTCCATGACAACCACCCCACCCTAAAACTTGCATAGAATCAAGGACCCCACCCTCACCAGTGTGGCACTTTTGACATCCATACCAACATATCAATTCCTTACAAAATCAACAGCCCCAAGAAGAAATGCTGCCCTTACAAAATCAACCTCCCCACCCCCACAAAAACGGGAACCTGGAAACAAACTTTTTTCTTTACAATATCGAAGCTCTTTTTGTTACCCAGGTAGGTTGATTTTGTAAAGGAAATTTCAACGGGTATATCAGTGGTATCTAAGGGCCATCTTGGCCAGGACAAATCAATCCGCAACAGAAGTGACCGCTTGTAGCTGAGAATTGTCGAGATATCCCTAGACTCCTGTTGCCATACTTCAAGGAGGATGCCGTCAATGACAGAATTGGCTTGCTTCCAAGGAATGCGACTACTTCTTGAAGGACCTCCAAAGGACGCACCGTAACATGATCTCTTAAGCCATATGACCTCTGTTTTGATAGGGCAAAAATGCAAGAACCATGTCTTGACTCCCCCAAAAGGAGGGATCGTCAGGTTCATAGGTTTTTGAGGTCCAAAGGGACTGCCTCCTCCCGACGATTCCAGCTCTGTTCTTGCCCTCCGTCGGCTCGGCGCCTCCTGCGGTGATAGCGACTTTTCAAGCGCCTGGGCGGCCAAAGGGGCAAACCGGAGGCCTTTTCAGCACGATCCGAGTGAAGTCGGTCTGAAGAGGTGCTGACTCTGGCTGCAAAAGGTTCTGGCTGGCCAAGTTTGTGGGAAGTATTCAAGACATGTTGCCAAGTGGTGTCAAAACCTGCCAAGTGGTTGGTTCCTAAAGAAAACCTCTTCGCCCCACACTGCCAACCGGAACAAACCTCTGAACCCTCGCACCGTCAGTCAATTCCTCTTTCGAAGGTTTTCGAGGATAAACCCATGGCTCCACGGAACCAACGAGACAAAAACCGTCTAACCAAAGATCCCAGACACGACCCATGGGACTGCCATAGGACTGCCGATCAGGCCAGGGGTGGTGCCAGAGGGGTCAATGTATGGAGCATATGCCAGTCCCATGGAGTGTCTGGGGGTGTTTTCAGAGTAGGAATTCTACTACAGTGCCATTCCAACAATTGTTTTTGAGTTGGCACTGTAGAATGCCATTCCATCTACAGTGGTTTCAGAGGTTCGATGGCACTGGCACCCCAACATATCTTGTATTTTGGGGCCATAGCAAAACCAACGACATTGGGGATTGTGCCATCTGCTCTGAACCCACTGTAAAAGTTAAGGAATCATCAGGAACCTACGGCTCAGGACTATTTCACAGTAAGCCAGTAAGCATCCAAAGGACTTCATATCCCTCAATGGCTCAAGTCCAAAGTGGCCTCCAACTCATGCACCCTTCAATATCCTTCAGGCTTCAGCAATGCCCCCCCCAATGCTTCCTATCGCTAGCCCCCAAACTCCTCTGACTCCTCCCCTCTGCTTCGGCGCCTCTTCCGTGGCCGCTTGTGCCAGTGCATGTGCAGCAATCGAGGCCACATCCACCACCTAGAGTTTAGAGAGTGACCCAACGAGAAAAAAAAAGGGGGCCACAAATCCTGTGAAACGTTAACACCAATAAACCATGGATCCGCTCATTTATTGGGTTTATATGTCTACCCAGAACTCGACTCCCTGTTTTGGAGTCAAAACATAGTATTGTCCTATCAAAACAGCGTGGTCATATGGGTTCTAGGATGTTCTAGGCAGGTGTATATACATTCTCCCATGGAACCTGGTTCACAGAAATCTGGCCAAGGCAAGGTTGTCACACCTGTCAGTTCCGACGTGGTTGTCACACCTGTCTGTTTGAGAAGAGGGCGAGCCGGGTCATCTAATGACACTCACTGTTCAACCTGCATGCAACATTCTGCCCGCACACAGCTTTGAAACCCAAAGAGACGACCAATCGATTTGCATTCAGCAGCACAAAAAACAAGCAAACATCAATCCAACCAGGACAACACCCTCCGGTGGCGGGTAGATCAAACTGGATGATCCCTGCAGGCTAACATGATCCCAAAATTCCTGCTGCGCATCTTTTCACAGGATCCTGGCAGGTCCCCGCATGCGTGAGCTTTGCACCAAACAGTGACCCAGCTGCTGCAAGATACGAACGGCGTGTGTGAGACAGGACTCGTCACCAACGAAAAAGCGCGAAAGCAAGGAGGCAAGTAGACGATACAGGCTCCCGCCCGTTCCGGGCAGGTTTGACGAGCTATCAAAGACCAGAATCGGGGCACAATCGGGGCAATAGCAGCAGGACAACATTGTACAACATTGTGCGACAGTTTTGTTGAGCCTCTAGTGTTGAAAAAACGTGGCTGGGCCCCCCAGTCACCATTTGGTGGCCATAGACAAAGGCCATGATTCATGGCCAAAGCACAGTTCTCTCACAAGTCAGGCGTGGCTCTCAACTGTAGTACATGTGTAACATCTCTCATTACTATCCAACTACATTGACACAGATCCTGTTGCGAGCATGTCAAGGGGGCCACTTCCTGACGTTTCAAACCCCAAGGTTCCTTGGGTCATCTTGGACTCTCTTCGCCCAACCGGGCCTGGGCCTCTCAGCCTTCGGAAGCCTGAGAGTCTGACGTGGACCCAGCACCTCATCCCAAATCCTACCAGCACAAGACCTGTCTCTGGGCAGCGTGCTTACCACGGGATTCACCGGTTGGAACACCCATTCAGGACCCTGCCACCCCTCGAAAAAGGGCTCTATTATAGGCTCTATTGGCATCTCTCAGGTGCTGTTGAGATTATTAGTGACTGATTCGTCCATGTGCAGTAAATGCAGAAAAGCCAGAAGAAAGTGCTCGCCGCGACACTTGCATACATGCCCGCACATCTTGTGTGAGGTTTGTGAGATTAAATCACATCCGTGCTCTCCGCGGTATGGCTCACCATGGATCAATGGAGGCCTAGTTACTTTCTTAACATATCCATCGCGCAAAAAGATCACGAGGCCTGATGTATTGCCATGATCTCTTCAATGATTCGACACTCTCAACCTACCCCAAGTTCAATCACCCTCTCGTCTGCTCGTGAGTCCAGAGTCCATCCCGCCCAGGTACAGCGGAGCAACCAATCCTGGGTCCGAGACGTCCACTTCTTATGCAAGGAGGGTTGGCTACTCTTGCTGCAAGAGAGGTTGTTTATGGTTGTCTTCAACTCCGTATGGCGCCAATAAGAGCAAGCACAAAGGACCGTTACCCCTCTCTCCCTCTAATACATGATGTCGGTGATGAGTGTGGTACATGCCTGAATCATCATCAACAACATGTTGACGACAAATCGATCTTGCTGCAACAAGTTGAAGTGCTCGGGCCTAAGGAGATGGGTCGTGCACCATGTTCCCCCAACCTGTCCACCGAGAAGCGACCGACCAGCCGGTGGAACGGCCATGACCCACAGCGAACTGGTGAGAAAATGGTGCCCAAATACCACACCCCGGCTCATGCATGGGTGGCCATGACTTCACACCATAATCCACCATACTGTATACAACCCTGACCAGGCCTGAATAGGAATCCAAACCCTTGAAGGAGTCCTAACCTTCACAGGTACGTTCGACGTGCGAACATCCGCCACTCCACGTGTGGTTCACACGACGTGCCAACCACGTGCAGGAACATGTGCGGGTGAACGGATGAGGAGCCCCTATGAGCCCCTCTTGTTCTTTTTCGGTAAAAACCCGTGCGGAGCACCAAGGAGCCCAAACGCACAACACAACACAACACGTGTGTGTCAACTGACTGGGTAGATGGCCGATGGCCTCAAACGGGGGAAAACCAAAACAATGGGGGAAGAGACCCAACTCTTCCAATCTTCTTAGTGCAAGTGGCCACTGAGGCACCTCCAGATTGACATGGAAGTGGAAAAAGCTCACCGCTCTGCTGGTAAACAAGGCTTCCCGGTACCGGTTTTCCACATGGAAGTGGCGTATTCATCGTGTTCCATCGATTTCCTGATCAATCTTCAGATCTCCAAATTGACGGCGGGTTTGAGCCAAGCCACCCACGGGTTTGGCAGCAATAGTCCATCTTGCTGTTGGACCACCCCACTTGCCAATTTTGAACTCCGGCATCGCAATCATACCTTGGCGAGGTGCAGCCAGGTTGGCCCCAACAAATGGCCCGCATGACCTCCCTTGACTTGACACAATCGGGACCTCTTGAGGCCGCTTCGAAGGCCCTTAGGAGAACCAAAGTGCATAGGGTCCAAGTTCTGAGAATGGGCCATGGCTTTCAAGCAGTCCCCAACTCGAATGATTGCGCTAAAGCATCTTGAATCCGTAGAAAGCCGCCTCAGGTCGTGGCGCCAACCTCTCCAAGTTGCCCTTGGCTGTTTGAGTCGCGGCAGCCCCGGCCATTGTGAAAGCAGCACCACACTTTCTTGCCCTGCCAGTGCAGCCCACGCAGTGTCGTGTGCACCAATGGCACGCTACCCCAAGCGCACAGGGCTGATGGGACCAAACACCGTCTTGGGAGTCATAAGGCTAGGAAGACATAGGGAATTTTTCGACTTATCACTGTGAATTTGCACGGTTCCGAAGATCTGCAGTGGATTCTGCTACAGTATTATTCTTTCCTGGCACTTGGCAGTTGCCGCTTGATGCCCATGATGCCGCTTCTACAAGGAACGGGGATGGACACTGGATACGGCTGAACAACAAACGTGGTCAACATCAACGACCCCAATGGCGACGGCTGTGAATACAAAAATATATATATATATATGGAGAGAGAGAGAATATAGATATTAGATCATAGATCCCTGAAATCACACGTTTTACGGGAAACACGCTTGTAGTATCGCGGATGGTATGAATTCTCTGCTTCACGTATGGCTGAGCCGTTCATTTGCCAGCCTCGGACCAATCATGCATCCAGTTCTCGTAGTTCTGGGCGCAATCATATTTTTGGGATGGTGTTCCAGGACAAGCCACCGAAGCGTGATAGCCTCAAACAAATGAGCGCCCCATGTCATACCTTCCACCGGAGGCGCACTTGATGCACATGGAATCACACAGAAACAACATCATCCCAGGAGTTTCGGTCACCAACTGGCCCTTAGGCCTGTAAAGGGTCACCGGCACAGACTCCGCAGGTCAAAATTTGAAGGTCGTGGATGTTCTACATCACATGTGGTGCTAAGCAGCCAAGTACGTGAGGGCAAGGAGGGCGGTTACATCTGGGCCATGCCACTGTGAAAGCTGAGGAAGTGCGACGGGGTTTGGGTAGGAGCTCGTAGGGCACAAACTTAGGAAGAATTTCCGCAACACCTGCACGCCTCATCATAGTCGTATGTCTGTTTGGTGGTTTTCCAGATGTTTCTCCTTCCGAGTAGACCTGTCATGTCTCAGGTTGTAGTAGACCTGCCAATTTCCGAACACTGGCCTCCATGCTGGAGGCAAAGGCCTGGAGCCTTCAACCACATCAATCCGAATCACAGGAAACACACACTGCATCAACAACAGCTCTTGGCCAGGACATGTATTGGACATTATCCTTTTCTTCTGGGGGGGGTTTGGTCTGCACACAGGGAATACCGTATAGGTCAACAAAAACATCCAACGACCGTCGTCCAGCACCGTCCTCGGTATACTGCGGGCCCAGCTGCAGCACCACTCCTTCTTCTTCTGCTCCCAGGCCTCCCAATCACCATACCCTGCGGCACAATCCTGAGGTCTTCCGGAGGTCTCCCGGAGTGTGGAAACAAAGGTCCAGCATGCATTGTTCCAAAAACATCACTGGTAGTTGGGAAGCGCGCCATGCATGTCATCACTGTGATTCCATTTGTCCCGCATGCATTGTTCCAAACACTCGTTCTTCATCTTTTGACATTTAGGTACTTGGGACCTCACTGGCCCACCTTGTAACATTGGCATTTTTCCGAGTTCGAAGCACCAAGAAGCGAAACAAAGCCTTGAGCGAAGGTGGCGGGGCCAGAACAAGGGACCAAGAACCAATTCTTTTTTGTGAAAGTCGTTGCCTTTGGCTTTGCAGAACGAAAGCACTGTACATACCATTGTTTTGAGCACAACACTTGATGGGCTGCTATCTGTGTGGCATGTGTGGCGCCTTGAATGGTCCAAAACACTGCAGATGGATTGAAATCAAGGCTACTGAAAACATCGCTGGTGATGTCTTCAAGAGTGCTGCTTTTGTGCATCACGACTTGCAAACAGAACGGTGCTTCCATTGTTTTAGCCAAAGCGATGGCATATGTACGGTCTTTTCAGGGTGCGAGACACATCGCGAGCACCGTGAAAATTGTGCCCAATCGTTAAGTCGTGGAGCTTCTATCATGGCATGTTAAAGCAGTTTTTCTGTTGTTTTGGCATCGCCAGTTCCGCGAGACGTTGCAATCAACCAAGCACATATGGTTTTTGCAGGTGGTGGTGCTTGTTGTGCAATCTTAACATATTAGCATCATGAGTAGTTTGAAACTGCCCGGGTGCGTGGGCAGTCCTCACCTCTACTCCAACCCTCTTGCTACAAACCGTGTATAATAGTCATTGTCTGTCCTGGTTGCACAGAGCTTGGTGGATGCTATGATGCTCGTCTTGCGTGCCCACATGTTCACAACAATGTCGGTCCCAAAGGATGCGGAAGCTTTTTGCACGTCTGACAACCCCTCTGGAGGGGTTGCGGGGGAAGCTTGGGCCCAAGGTATCGAACCAACAACTTGACCAGAAGTCCAGGGCCACAAGGAACAAGAAGCGCATCCCTGCCATACCAGCAGCTGCCTCTAAAGGTTTGAGGGTGGAAACAACCTAATGTAGGTATCAAGATCATCCCATTTGACACTATTTCCAGGACTTCCGGGAATCAACAATGTCAAGACCCTCCTCTAGCTGCAATGCCTCACCAAGCAACAAAGGACTCGGAGGACCCCATCTCAGCCTGGAAAGACCAGACTCCAAAGGAACAGTAGGGATTGCAAATCACCTGTGAGATAGATATCTTTGACGCATGAAAGAATGCTTGCAGTTCTGCCTGAAGAGTGGACATGTTTTGTCTTGAAACACTGGATTTGGGTCGGAGCTCATCTGCGAGGACTTCGTCTTCGACGAACGCGTTGTAAAGGTCTGACCCTATTGCCTCCAAGCTGTCACCGCTGGAGACCCCTCATGAGCCCTCCCGCCATTGGGCTTGCTGTGTCTGACGCGGGGGGTCATGTTCTGGAGAACTGCACTATGGCCTTGGGTACCTAAGCCTCAGAGAAGATTGCTGGGCTTCATCTCAGTGGGTTCCAGATGTTAAGTACCAAACGTCAATCCCATTGATCCAGCTATGTCGCTGTTGTCCCTCATGGTGGGTTTTTTCTACTGTGCAATCTGAGCGTTCTGTGAATTCCCTCGCATTCGATCAAACGAAACTGCCGACCCGACCATGCCGGACCTGGAACAAACTTTAAGACTCAGATTCTGCATCTGGAAAGAGGATCTTTATAGAAAGATCTGGCCTCCCAGGTGCTTTAAAGCCACGCCTCGCCCTTGGCGGGGCAGCCACGTTCGTGATGAAGGCAGCAATAAAGCTTCTTCCTGATGTATGCGGAGGGCATGGTGCCCTATGTCTGCGGAGTTTGTGATCCACAGGAGTGCGTGGTCCACAGGAGTGCGTGCTCTGTCTCTGTCTTTCTTTGGGCAGGCCTCCACTCCCCAATGGTAGTGGTTTTGTTGAAGGAGTCAATAGCGCCGTAGCGCCAGTATGAAGCCCAGATCCAGGTTCGACACGAGCCGGCCAGTGATTTTGGTCTATATGTGCACCAAAGCTGGATCGATCACGTGCGTGCTTCCCTTTCTCACATGAATTCCCGTGAATCACCTCTGAAGAGTTTCAACATCTCCATCAAACCTATATAAGCCCTGTAAAAGCACCAGAGTGCCTGTATACGAATCACAAAAGCTACTACCAAAATCAGACACCTCTGAATTGCCAAGCCGCCGGTAGGACCACAACTCTGTCCTAGCCATGCGAGGAAACCAATTTTGGCCGCAAAACAGCGGAGGTTCACAGCACGTGAGTAGATGCGCAGAGGTCCGTCTCAGCTCAAAACGTCTCCACCATCTCAACCCAAATGGGAAGTGGGTGGGGGCGCCACAAACCTACGTCATCCTACTAGCAGTCGCATGTGGTGCCGAACGAACGAGGAAGGAGTTGGGTGCCCCTGTCACATCCATGGCCCCTGGATGGGACGAGCCACACCACCCAACTCCATGTGACTCCTGGTGTGCATATAAAATCACATAAACTCTTCGGCATAAACAGCACCCACAGCCCGGAGCTGCGAAGATTCACACGAAGCCCGGAGCTGCTAAGATTCACCGATTCACAAGGCGCATACGGTTTTTCCTGCAGTTGCTGGAAGGCCTTCCAGGCCTACTGCGAGTCTTGAACCGTGGAAGAAGTTTGAAGGTGGTTTTTGGCGTCCCAAAAGGGCTCAATGCATCCTCGTTCCATCTGACAGAAGGACGTGGTAGGGTTGCAGCTGCATTTGGCCAGCCCAACCCACAAGGGTCATCAACGATATACAAAAAAGGGCGTGTTCATCCAATCAACCGGACACAGGTAGGCGGGGAACACAGTTTTCAATTGCCAAGCCGCCACTTGTGATAGTCTTCATCACAGTCCTCAGCCATCTAGATGATCTCATGAAGGAGAGCTCATCATGAAAGGAGCTGGGCGCGGAGACAAAGATTCTAGCATTGCATCGTGTCGTAGAATTTGAAACAATTGGGCAGTGCGATGACGCCTTTGTGCAGAAGAATGCCAGGGAAGGGCATGGTATTTGCAGTGAGTTGCTGGGCATGGTGCAAGAAAGGCCTTAGCGGACACCGATGGAGGTTGATAGCTGATATCTTCTGAAGCTTTGGGCGATGTGAGTTTCTTGACAAGTAATTAAGGCCGGAACAGGCAGGGGGGCAACCAGGAATATATATATAATATATAATTTATACATGCATAGTAGCCTGTATAGTAATATGTAAAAATATAGAATGTATATCGATTTGACTATGTTTGCGTGTTGAGTTTTGTAGTCCTAGCTGTTTTGGAATTCATTCCACCGGCAATGGCCAAAGGCGGCCATGCGTCAAAGGCGGCCGTGGTGAGCGCAGCCCTGCAAGCGATCCCATGCTTCTCACAGCAGAAATTCTGCTTGCCTCAGTCAACATCATCTAAGTTCAAAGTCGCTACTTTGTGGGGCCTGCATTTTGGTAGCCCAAGTGGTCCAAGATGATTCCAAAGGTCCAAAACGCCAAACCTTGTGGGTGGGGGGAAATCGTGTCAAACAGCAGCACCTGAATTGGATGGACTGAAGCCAAAGCAACGCGTGACGCTCTGGACACACGACGAACCACGCGGGACGCTCACGTCTTCGACGCCGGGCCGCTGATCGTCCAGTCGCGTTGCCTCAGACGAGGCCAGACGATGCGACTGGGCGAGAGAGGAGTGGGTGGTGGGTGCGGTTGAAAGAACCCAAGACAGTCAGAAAGGATGAAACCTGATTCAAAACATCTGGCCGATCCCTCCAGTGAGCGTAGCCCATGGTAGCCCTAGTTTGTGAGCCCTGAAACTAGCTGACCCTCCACCATCCTCCAACCCCACCACCTGGAAGAATGATCAGAACCCGAGCATATATATAATATTATATATATATATACACTCTACCTAATGCCCACCGTCGGAAAGCCTCAAAGGCACCTTTCCCTGTATATTCTCTTATCTTAGCCCTTTTCGATTCATCCCATCACATCTGATCACTTATCTGATCATATCCCATCCATTCGCATCGCTTCCAACCAGGGCGCCAGTTCAACACATCAGTAAAGCAGTCCTCATCCGAGCTCTGCGCTCTGCTCACCACAGGCCCGCCCGGCGGCCCACCCACGCCCGGTGCGGTCGGAGCAGCTCCCGGAGCCTTGGATCTCGAGAACTGGATGTTTGTTTGAGGACAGCACCTCACAACATCAAGGACCAAGAAAGTCCAGAAAAGGCTTTCTTCCGCGTTCCTTTTCTGCTGACATTTGGTGCAAGACCATTGCCGACTCCCTCACCAAAACACGGCGCTTGCAACGTGGGATCTCTTTGAGGGGCAGTTTCTCTCTGCTTGGTGGTTTCAATCGACTGGACACCTGTTGGCCATTTTGGACGGTTTAAACAACCCGATTCAGTCCCCCTACCAGAAGCGACTCCTTGGCAAGTACAAGTCCTTTTTGTGTGGACGTCCGGATCGTCTGATCTACCACTGAGGGGTAGAGACTTTAGGTGCCGCTGCCGCTTTTGACCATGTAGGAGCCAAACAAACTGAAATCACCCAGCGGCAGGTACTGCACCATCACCCGCGCAAAAAAGGGGCACACACTTCTCCGTTGGTTTCCAGAACCCTCAACAAGACCAAGCGTCTAATAGTTCCAGATCAGGTAGCTATAAGACTCTAACCAACGTTGCTCCCTTCCCAAAAGTGTAGCTTAACACAAAACGTATCACCAAACGGCTACACTCCCTGAACCGCTCAGCTTGTAATGTTGGATCCTGATTAGTACAAGATCCTCTATAATGCTAAATTTTGCAGAAAGAATTCTGGACACCAATTTTTGTTTTGAGGGTCCTCTATTATGCCAACTTGTTTTGGATCTAAATTTGTTTAATCATATTTCCTTCAAATCCTTCGAACACCTGTGAATACTTTAAGTCAATGAGTTGCCTGCTGGAAATGTTGATGGGTGTGGGTTGCTCTGGTTCTTCTTCGGAACTGACAGTTCCCCCAGAGCCATCAATTCCTTAATAAATCCTTTATGTAAAGATTGTTCCTAAACAATTTTTCAAGGTAGTAAGTAGATCAGGAAGGCCCCTGATCCTAAATGTTTGCCTTAAGGGTCCTGAATTGTGCAAAGTTTTTCCTGAATAATAGTAGGAATAGTTTTTCTTAATACTACAAGCCCATGGCTGGCTGGCTGGCTGGCTGAGAGTATTGATAAGTATAGGTCTCTCTAGTTCTTCTTCAAAGCCGCAAAGAACCTGAGAACCTTCTTTGTCCTCGTCTTAGTAGTATGAATGGATTGCCGAGAGTATCTAATTACAAAAGAACCTGGGAAAGGACAATTACTACTACAATCAATTACAAAAGGAATCCTCCCAGGAACCCAGATTTGTTTTGATGGTCGTCTATTTCAGAGGACCCCCCATTTGTTAGAGTGAGGGGGGGGGAATCCCTTTTACTGAACCATCAGAATCCATGCACCACATCGGATAGAACTCAGCACCCCATCGGCCATAGGGGCCATAGGGAACTTGGGCGCGGCCGGGGTCGGCTTCACCGTGGTGGTCGGACACCCTTGGTCCCAATGTTCGCAGCACCAGGCCCTCAGCGAGCTGGCGAGCGCTGGACTCCCGCGTGGCAATTAAGGGGTGTTTGGTCGTTGGGCCGGGAAGAGGGAGAGAAGAAAGGATCGATCTTGGATTTGAGCTGGATGGACCCTTGACAGAACATGTGCCTCAGAAAAACATCTCGCAAGGGGTGTCTCATGGTGTCTGTGAATAGCCTATGCGCCGCCTTTTCAGCCAAAGGCTTCCTGCAAATGGGCATGGTGTTGCTTGGTAAGATTGGGAGGTGGGGGGCGCTACAAGGGTGAAGATCCTGCTCAACTGATAGATGTTACATTGATTAATAGATATTGATCGTCTAAAACATGTCTGGACATTGTCCCAAACTCCAAGTTCTACCCCAGACCCCAATGGCGAGTCTCCAAGTTGGTGAACCCAAGCCAAAGTTTGCTCTAGCAGTAACAGGTGGGGTCATTTTCAACCTAGAGCAGTTCGCCGCTCTTCGCCCAAAAACAAAACCTACAACATGGGTTAAGTCTTCAAAGGTAAAGGCATGAAAGGCATAACAGTTTGTTGGTCCACCGTTCGTTCATCCGAGTTGGTCCAAAAAGGCTACAGACGTCGTGAAGGGACGAAGTCGGACAAAGGGACGAAGCGACTGTGCTTACGGACCAAGCGGAGCGTCTTCTTCGTATGCGACCACATGTGCTCAGGCTGATGATCGCAGTCGTAAGGCACATTGATCTGCAACGGTTCTGGCGGAGCCTGGATCGGTGAAGGATCACTGTCGAAAAAGGAGAAAAGCTGCCTGGCTTGCAGCTTCAGGGATGGCGGAAGTCCAGGCAACGAGATGAACTCCGCCAGAATCGGATTGGTTTCTTGGGCACTCCGCATATATATAAAATGATTCATTTGGTAATTTGGTGAGGATCCTGATGCTCATCCCCAATGGCCAACTGCTGTCGAATAACCTTCTGATGATACTGATTTGCTTCAGCCCTCTCCATAAGGATTTCATCCCGAATTGAAAAGAGGAATCAATCATCGACTCAAACCTAGGAATCAATCCTGATCCCAATTCCCTTCACAGCTGGTGCTGAAGTTTGATCATGTTTGATCTTTTGATCAGCTAGGCAACGCAGTCGTAGGATTCACCTTTTCATCCTTTTTCCCGGTGCACACCCCAAGAACAAGAACAGAATAGACCTGGACCACTAGGGCCACTAGGGGGTCTTCACCAAACCACTCTGAGGGGATCTTATATGATTTTGTTTGAGCCGCATGAGCTGGTTCAGCCTCATACTCTTCCAGCCTGAAACAAACGGACGAACCACACAATGGTCCAGAAGATCACCTGAGCAGCGAGCACGGGCCCGTGGAATCATGATGAGGCGGACGTGGTCTAGACCTTGGGTCAGCCAAGTTCCAATGATCTGGCTCCAAGTACCTTGGGTAGTTCTGGTTACCTGGGCGGGGTTACCCAAGGTAGTGATAGCCTGGTCAGACAAGTTCCCTCGTCTGGGTGGTAGTGATCTTGACTTGTTCCGGTCAGACCCCCCTTGCTGCTACAGATTTACCCGAGGCGGTGGGACTCAAGCTTCGCCACAGATTACTTAAAATGCTTCGCACGGTGCTGGTGCTGGCACTTGCTTCACCGAAACTTCTGCCGAAAGCATCTACCCAACCCGAGAAACTGGAGAGTCCACCGACTGAAATCACCTGGTCCATCAACTGGTGGCCAGGTTTCATAGAAGTTCTGAAACAGCATGCCAGTTGGAAGGGGTCATTTCAAGATGAGAAACGCCCCCTCAAAAACTCGTCATTAATATGCACAAGGACCCATTTGCACACCGGTGCGCCCTCAAAGGAGCTGAATGAACCAGTGCTAAGCTGCCTAGGATGTAGAATCATGTTCCATACTAACCTTCAGGGAGTAAGTATATCATGCGTATATGTCCTGTCGCTGGGGACATCCACCAGTCGACTGAAAGGGTCCGAGTCCCTCTGCCGAAGTCCGACTGACTTCACCTGCCGAAGCTGACGATCTCCGTCACAGCTGCAGTCGAGGCACAAAGAGGCCCAAAAGAAAGCATCCCAAAAGAATCCACCTCCGGTACCATTGCGGGATCCACTTAAGGCAGTAGAGCTTCCAAAAAGACTTCCAGCAAGACTCCTGCACTATCTTTCCAGGGCCACAGCAAAGGCCAGAATTGGCCAACACCGGCTTCCCATGTTGCCAGCGTTGACTTAGACAGCGCGTTTTTTGGCCCCTACATTACTTCTATATGACTGTCCGTTGCTTTCAACTTCGTGAACCCGTCGCCTCGGCTTTCGATCGGATCGAGTCGCCCCCACTCACCGTCTTTGGAGGCATCACGGTCGGTCGACCGTTGAAGACTGAACCGAAGAACGCGATCCGATCCTCTGACAGCGTCTAACACTTCCTTAATTAGAAATGAAGCTCTATATCCCAGACACGACCCATGGGACTGCCATAGGACTGCCGATCAGTTGGGGTGGTGCCAGAGGGGTCAATGTATGGAGCATATGCCAGTCCCATGGAGTGTCTGGGCATAATACATCTCCGTATGCCAAGAAAAGACATACAGGAATTGGGAAGGTCTCCTTTCGACTCTTCTCATCGAATATGGAACTCCGCTGTATCCCCTGTGGCCTCCTACACCAAAGATGCATATGGGATAGACCTTTATCCCTCCCAAACACCAGTCAGTTTAAGAGGCTGATGCAAATCAACGCTTCGCCCGCTGAGAACTAACGTTGCACCATTCAGGTTGGAAAAGATCAGCTGCTTGGCCGCCCCTTGACATGCCCAGCCCCTTTTCTCCCCTCGCACCACCGGCTAGAAACGGAGGCTCAGTAGGTTCGAAGGTGATGCTTTCCTCTTATAACACCCTTGAATTCTTGAAGTTTTTCGTGAGGTGGGACAGGACTAACATGTTGTAACCATTTGGAACCACTTGGAAGATTTGTTCATGCTCATCCAGAATCTTCCAAACTTCTCGTGCTCATTTTGAAGGTCTCTTCCCTGGAGCTGGAAAGAACACCTCTCCAAAACACCCCGAATCGCCGCCACCGGGCTCCTTCTTGCCAGCGGCTGGCACATAAGTAGATTGCGGAGCGAAGGCCGCCGCCCACTCAGGCTGACCTTTCAAGACGTACCTCAGTGGTTCGGCACGACTTTTAAGGCAGTGATTGCTGATTGCTGCGGGGTCGTTAGATGTCACGGGCTTTTTATAGCCAACTGGTCAAACCAAACTCTCAGGGTTCATGTTCACCCACTGGGTAGGCTGTAACCAAGTGCAGCCATGAGCACAACCAAGTGCAGCCGGTCACATAGTCTTTTTCGTTGAATTTGCCACAGCACAGGTGTCCACCGCCTCTGCGGCAGGAATTCGCTTGACGGCTCCGATGAGACGGCGATGCCGCAGCGAGAGCTCCGGTCAGTCCCATTCGGCACCCCCAGTCGGCTGACCCAGTCGGGCCCCTTCCGAAGTGGACCGGAGCGAGTTTGGTTGAAGAACGCCGCTGTGGCGAGCTCGGTCTTCGTAACAAGAGCCAGCTGGAACCAGCTGCCTTCTGTCAACCACAGCTCTGAGGGCTTGGTAGATGTACCCACCATGGTTTCCAAGAACAGGTTCCTTAAAGAACAAAGAGTGCCCGTTCGAGATTGCATCCTGTGCCTGGTGAAGACCTCTTGCAAAAGCAGCATAGCCAGCGCTGAGGGGGAATGATGCTTCACATATTTTCACTGTTGCATCAGATCATGTTCTCTCGCAGTCTTCTCATGGTGGGACCCTCAGTATCTTAGCCCTCTCCCAATGAAACAGCTTTGCTCTCGAACTCGCAGACCTCTCGCTTGACCGATTTCACGCATGCTGTGGACCCACCCCATGTATGCACATTTCAGCCACCTCACATGATCAAACCCAAGACCTCGACGGCTCTCGCTGTCCAGAGACCCGGCCTCCAACGTGGCTTAAGACCAAGCCTTCACTGGACATCTCCTCCTCGAACATACTCGCACCGGCCGGGTCCTTGACAACCTGAAGAGTGGTCATCATGAGCGGAAAAACGGGTGCACGAACTTCAGCAGTTGATAGGCTAGTATACGGATGTTGAAGGATGCTTCTCTGCCAGGCATCTCCTGGGACCTCAAAGGTTTTCTACCTCGAAGGTCTGTTTTCTGCCGTCTGAAACAGGCGGATTGCGTTTCTCACACTGACCAGCGAGGTTTGAGTTTCTCACACCGACTGGTCAGTGGGGTCGCTTCGGGTTGGGTTCTCCCTGTCCGCTTCACTAGGCCCATCCCGACGATACGCTTCGTGCTTTCTACCGGCTTTCACTTTCGCCGGTCAGTATTTTGGATGTACGAATGATGTGGTTTTGTTGGGATGGATTTTGCTCAGTACGGTTCTCAACAGTGTAGTCCCTGACTCACAAAATCTTAAAAGCTACAAACTGCAAACACAAAAAAATACTATAAAAGCCTAGCCCACGAGAACCAAAAGCAAGCCATCAAAAACCAACTCCCAACCAACGTCAGCCCAAAGCCACACAAGCCACCAAAAGCCACCAAATGTCAAAACCAAAAAGCAAAGGAAAGCATCAAAAATCAAAAAGCTATCAAAAGGCAACAAAAGAAGCTATAAAAAGCTTGCCATCAAAATCCAATCCAATTCGATCCACGAGAACCGCCAAAATCAGGCCATCAAAGACCAAACCAGCACAAAGCCACCAAAAGCCGCAGGAGCCATCAAAGCACGAAAGACACAGAAGCAACAGGTAGAACTTTGGTATATCCCATTCCCTGTAGCAGCAGTGGATGATGATGGTTGGGGGAGGCCTCATGTACTGTAGTGATGAGTAGTTCTTCTTTCAACGTTGCAGGTCACGGGACACACCCAAGGTAGAAGAGAACAATATAAAAAAGCGAACAAGCTAAAAACAAGAACACTATACTATGCCCCTCCTGTCTGGTTCTCTCTCTCTCTCTCTCACCCTCCACCCCTCCAAGCTCCGAAACCACGAGCCATGGCAGCCATGACTGGTCGTGGCAACGATCTAAACCCCCCCCGGAAGGCTCCGGAAGCAATGGGATGAAGCGGAACCCGCAAACCTCGACCCCACTCACCCCCCCCCCAGCTCCGACCCTCGACCCCACCGCCCAGAAGCATCGACCCCCCCGGTTCCGTGTTCAGTCTCGGCACATAGGCGAAAACTCCATCTGGAATCCGCTTGTCGTCTTTGCCGACCCTTGGAGAAACAGGCGGCTGCTGAAACAGGCTAAGCCTGTTCGTGTTTTTCCAGGAACTCACATGAAAGTCTATAAAGGGAGCCTCTTCTTCACATTTCACGCATGGATTTAAGACGAAAACGCATCTTCCTTCACTTCAAGAGCGTCTTCCTACAAACCCACACCCATGGTATCTCCTCTGACAATTGTTCATTCCTACAGCATCCTACACCATCTGGATGCCATGGGCAGCCTTGCTTCCCGCGACGACTTCGAATCCGGACGGACGATCCTCACGGGACTGAGCCAGCGTGGGGCGATGGCTTAAAGACTGGAGCTCTGAAGTGACCTTCTGGATCTTCTGGGACACCTATCCCAAACACTCCATGGGACTGCCATATATTGCCGATCAGTTGGGGTGGTGCCAGAGGGGTCAATGTATGGAGCATATGCCAGTCCCATGGAGTGTCTGGGAATTGGAACTTATCCTATGGTGGCGGAGGTGGATATGTTCTCCTATGGTGGCTCAGGAGGACCAGATCCTCCTAGTGACCTTCTGGGGGATATGTTCCTTCTTGATACACCTTCTGAGCCACTGATACTGCGGGAAGATGGCATGGTCGTGCTCACGGTAGAAGGCAGACCATATGCCATATGCATCGTCTATGTCAATGTGCCACTTTTGGGGTGCCCTAGATGCAAGTCGGTGAAGCCCGGCCACAAGTGTTTCACTAGTGTTTTTGGAGGTTGGGAGGGTCAGAAGCAAAGCTAACGAGCATCACCCAAACGCAATGCCAAACATAGTGGTTGCTGGAGTCAGTGTTGTCGTTTTTCTGTGCAATCATCGCTAGAAATGGCCGGTGTTGTCCCCATTGTCTTTCAAGATCTGTCAGACCCTGTCGTGAAATGCGCTCTTCACGTGACCAAGCAGCTCCTCGCAAGACAAATATCCTGCTGAACTTTGGAGATGCGAGTTTCGCGTCTGTTCCAACAGTGAAGGTACTGGATGGGTCCAATTATATATGATTGGAACGTGGCACCCAAACCCACATGTGATGCGTTCGGATGAGAAATGTGTCAAAAGCGCTACATCATACCCCAAACACTCCATATATGCCTACAGGCAAGCCCAAACCACCCCAATGTAGGCACATATGGCAGTGGTGCTGGCGTTGTGCTGTACTCTGAGCCGTAACGCAGCTTCCGGGCCATCGATCTGGCCCGCCACCACGCATTCGATCGTCGCCGGATCAAAGGAACCAACTGAACGGTGCGAGCCACGAACGTTTCAAAACAGTCTTGGACCCGCCGTGGGCCAGGCGGATGTTCGGTGCCGCAGCTGAGTTCGGTGGATTGATGTCGATCGTAAAGACAGGGCCCCAAAAACCAATTCCCGGACACGACCCATGGGACTGCCATAGGACTGCCGATCAGTTGGGGTGGTGCCATTGGGGGGTCAATGTAAGCATATCTGGAGTGTATGGGATTGGAGAAAACCGCTCCTCTCGTCAGCAAACGTCACCTCCAACCAAACTCCAGCATGTGGCTTGACATGCGAAGCCAACCTGGACCCCCAGGTCACTTGGTCACTGGTTCCGAAGCTCCGAAGCTCCGGGTCCAAGGCGCCCCGGTTGGTTCAAAGTGTCTCTTCCGGACGGGTCAATCCAAGCAACCCCTCGCGAACGACAGTGGTCAAAGCGTCCAGCAACACCGTTCGTTCTGAAAAGACCTGGTTGTCACGCTGGTTGTCTTATCTCGTCTTCAGTCGGGACTGAACCTGGGCCCCAGCTATAACACTCAAACACGACTAATGGGACTGCCATATGTGCCTATACTATACATTGGAGGTGGTTTGGGCGTGTCTATTCTAAAAGCAATGCTTGCCCCGGCTCTTGTGGTCCAACTGGAAACTTGAAAGGAGATGGGTCACTTGAAACCCAGCTCTGCTCAGTTGTTGCACTCACCAAGTTGCAGGGCTACGACTTTGCAAGATGCAGGGCTACGACCCACCGACCACCAGCAACCCTTTAGAAGACACCAGCTGCACACGGAGCTTCACCCCCTTTCGGGGCGAGCGAGGTGGTCCGCCTCGCCAGTCGGTCCTTGCACGGTCTTGCCCGTGGGGTCCATCAACTTCAACAGAAAGGCCGAGCCCATCTTAGGTTCCTTGATGAAGTGGGCGATTTCTGAGCTGTGGGAATGGTCCACCACTTTCCTGGGACGTTTCACTCGCTCGCTCGCTCGCGCTGCGAATCGGTGACGAGCATGGCGAACGAACCGCCGGACTCTCGGTCGTCACGAATCGGCGAGTCGCTGGAGGAAGTTGGAATTATCACATGAGCTTAAGTGAGAAACATTCTGCTCCACTAAAGCGGGGCAACTGACTAGCCAGTTGGACGATACAATGATGGATAGAGATTAGAATACGTTATGAGGAGGTGTACTTGGCACAGAGCCAATCATCAACGTGATTGATCTGCTCATGGCAGCTTCTTTGGTGAAGGAGCCGAATAAAACGAGCCGCGCTCGAGCTGAATCAACGGAGGGGCGTCCCAGGGGGGATAACGGAGCACTTTACAAACCCGCACAAACCTGGATGTTCTGGTAGATATCAAGTGATCCCCAGGGCTCCAAGTACCTTCTAAGAAGGTGTTTGGGGTGGGTTTAGAGGGTCCAAATATGTCCAAATAGCTTCTTGAGGAGGTACTTGGATCCCCAGGGATATGAAGATTGAGATTTAAAAAGAACACATCACTGGGATGGCGCTGGGAGCGCCCCTCACTCAACATCTGGTATAGACCCTCCCTAAAATAGAAGTCAACTATGAATCCACAGGTCCTCACATCGCCCCCCCCCCAAAAAAGAAGCACGTTCCCATCTCTCCGCTCTCCGCTCCCCTCTCCATCCCAGCCACGCCCAAGAAGACTCCGTGGCCGCATCCCGGTCCGGGCTCTGGCGAGAAGCGAGAAGCGATTCGGGTTTCATGTCTGACCCTATCAGCCCGGGTCTACTCCCGGCTCGGCAGGGGTGTGGGGTTTGAGGTCTGAAAGCTTGTGGTTCAGATGTCCGACCCTATCAGCCCGGCTCGGCAGGGGGTGTGGTTTTCAGAGGTCTGAAAGCTTGCGGTTCAGACCTTCAGGTTCAGACCTCCTCTTGCACCTCAAGCCGGAGCGAACGAAACGACACATCGAGGTCGGGGGAGAAACTCAACAGGCTTGATCTTATTGAGGGTTCTGCCGGCCACACAGCGCACCCAACTGACCCAACTGAAGGTGTGATATAAACTCGTCCGACTGCGCTTTCAAGACATTTCAAGAATATGTATGTATAATTACACCTTCAAGCATGATTGCCTTTGAAGGGGGCAATCACCTAGGCGAAAACAACTCTTCGAAAACTCTCTGCCCCTGGCTCTGCCCCACAAAAAAAAATCAACAAAATGCTGATCTCCCGTTGAAACAGCGAAAGTCCAAATCCCCAAGACACTGTCGCATCCCAAACTCATCGATCGATATGTCAGGATCGATCGATATTCTTGGACCCACTTTCACCCTCCACCTCTCCCCTTCTCGGCTTGGTTTTCAAGGGGGTCACAAGCCGTTTTATCCGCATGGGCCAGTTGAAATGGATGCCAAGACCTGCCTTTAACTTATATACGTACCCTAGAAGTCCAAAGACGATACTTTTCCGTGAAGTAAAGGACAGTCCCTTTCAGGCACCCTAGTCGGACCATTCTGTTTGTAGTCGACTGGACTCCCAGGGTATACCAAGACTTCCGTAAAACACACTGATTTCTGAATCAAATCCACACCCCTTCCCCACCGGCCGGCAATTCACCCCCACAAAAGTGAGTCCAACGGAGGGGACGTAGCCTGCGACACCGCGACGTAGCCCTTCTGATAGTCCTTGGGCCCGGAGAACCAGCTACCGCTATCCCGGCCACAGCCTCAGGAAAGTCGACGGGTGGAGCAAAAGGATTGACGGCGGTCTGAGGATTTGAGTGTCCTTTTCTCTGGCAAGTGAAAAACCAGCACATGAAGTTTAGCAATGGATGCGTGTGTTGGGTACATGTCTCAACTCCTTGCTGAGTCAATCCTTGACAAAGACCCAATGTTCCAAAATCCAAGCACAAAGGTAACCAGTAGTGACTGACAGAAGTCTAGTACAATCTGTCATCAGTGTATATCAACGTTGTTATTCCTTGTACATGCAAGTGGTAACCTAAGTGGCTCTTGATAGTCGTTGCTCTTCTTGATTGCAGTTCTGAAGTTGAAGTACCAAAGTCCTGACGACTTGATGTTCACCCCTCTGCATCCTCAATGAGCTCAATCAACACATGAAGATGGCTTCACCATGCTTCACCCATGCCCGTAGCCAAACATGTTCCATTCAGGATTGACACACGTGCTCGAGTTCTGAAGTGAAGAGTTTGATCCCTGGCCACGCGGCCATGAGGAACTCATGCATAGCAGCATAGCACATGTTCAGAACATGCACGCATGCAGCGCCGTGTGCCGTACATGTTGTGACCTCCCGAATTGTCAGTCGTCAATCACGATCAGCTCAAGAAGGTGCTAGCGGAAAATCATCCTGACATAGATAGATAGATAGATAGATAGATAGATAGATTGATTGATTGATTGATAGATTGATAGATTGATAGATTGATAGATTGATAGATTAGATAGATAGATAGATAGATTAGATAGATAGATTGATAGATTAGATAGATAGATTAGATAGATTAGATAGATTAGATTAGATTAGATTAGATTAGATTAGATTAGATTAGATTAGATTAGATTAGATTAGATAGATAGATAGATAGATAGATAGATAGATAGATAGATAGATAG